TACTGTACCAAGAACTTCTGTGCCACTGGAACTAACTGACTGTGATTTTCTCTCCAAGCCCTGCTCTGAGACCTTATCACACATGCCTCTGCCAGGTGTCACATCCAGGCTGGTTTTTGAACGTTGGAAGGCCCGAATTCACGCACAGGGCCACGTTGTTTGCGCGCTTCTTTTTCTCAGCTCTCGCGTTTGGCTGGTTCTTAGTTTTCTCACGCGCCGTGAATATATTCTTCGCAAAATGCAAAGGTGAGCCCTCTGCTCCTTTCACGCGGTCCACCTCCAAACACTCACGCAATTGTGTGTGTGTCACTTCGTTCATGAAACCTTCTGCGGGCTTGAGGGGGACCTTCAAAACCTCTGACTTGTTGTTTCCGTTTTGCATTTTCGTGGGGTGAAGAGAGGGAGCAAGCGCGAGAACTAGAGAGAGAGAGAGAGAGAAACAAAAAACGAGACGTTGAGCGTTTGCAAAAAAAGCAGGACACCCAAAATGGGATCTTGCGTGGTTTGGTGGGATCCCTCTGTAATATGAACATAAACAACACCGTCCAAAGGTGGGCCCCCAATTTGAGCAGACACTTCCTCACTCACTCGCTGACTCACATTTAGTCACTGGCAAACCATTGACAACCAGCCTCGATGTACTTCGTTACCGCCTCTGGTGGTGCTCCCAGCCTCACCAAGTTAAACCATAAGGAAAACACCAACAGTTGCAAGGCCACAGGGCTCAAGGTAGAGGCATAGCTCCCCCCCAAAGCGAGAAGTCGGCGCCGCCAGAGCCTGTCTGCCGTCAAGGAGTTCAAGCGAGGGAGCGAGGAGCAAGGAGCAAGGAGCAAGGCACCTGCACTCTTTGACTTCTCGTTCTGGTTCTGCAACTCCCGCACACGCGCAATCATGACCTTCGACCTGAGAACGATTCATTGCTCAGACGCATTGTTCATCTGGTGAAGAAGTGTGTGAGCCATGATGTCTTCTCACTGGGTGCCATTCAACCGACAACATGGCTGCTCGCTCTGCCACAACAAGCTCTTCAGTCCATTCGGCCAACTATTGCACCATGCTATTGCACTGTTTGCCTGAGCAATCTGCGGATTCTGCACATCGCCAGTAAGAGGGCGTGAAATCACTTTGCGCTGGCTTTCCGGGCCTGTTCGTACAGTACTCAGAAAGTAGCAAGGTCTTTGAAAACAAACACTTCCAGTCTCCTCACCAGTGACCCCTGCTTACTTTCAGAGCAAGCGTCACAGTGTTTACAATTCAATGACAACAAATATACCAATATCATGACAACGTATGTTTGTCCTGATGCGGGCCATGCGCTTGACGGCGAAATCCAACTGTGCCAGTTTCCCAAAATCGCCAATGCTCTCAGGATTGGGCTCAAAGCTCGGATCTTGAGAGCCGCTTCAGAATTGATGTGATTTTCGTCGATGAACCGGTCCACCTTCCGTGATCTGATTCGCATGGCAGGACGTGCCTGTTGCATTCTGCGCCTCCGGCAATCGCACTGGCGTGCGAGATCTTTCTTTCTCCTTGGGCCATGCAACAGTGCCACAGACGGAAAGAGTAGGAACGTCTCCCAAGTCCAGCACTTGAGCTTTTGAGCGCCCACTGCGACGCCCTGACTGCCATGGCATCACTTGTGTACCCAAGCAAGACTTGGAGCCTGCCCTTTGATTGCGAAGATCACAAGAGACAAATTCTCTGGAACAAGACGCTGGTTGGCATGCTGAACTCTGCAATTGGCAATACTTCCGAGCATGGGCAGCATGGGCAACAAGACCCTGCCGCGACGCTCTCGTTCGCGATCCCGGCCTGACTCAAGAACAACAATGCAAAGCCCGGAAGCCAACTGTAGTCAACGTCGGCGCTCTATACCCTCTAGTTGTCCACAAGCTCTACACCTTGAGTAAGCCACTACACGACATAAAGACCTGCATCATGGCTAGAAAGTTTAGCTAAACCTTGCATATGTGAATTCTTGACTTCAATCTGGACAGTTGCCCGGGCGGCGCTTCAGAGCTCGCCGAGCTGAGGCCGAGCTGTGAAACAATTGCCAAACAGCCCTTCGAGCCAGCTGAGAGTGTTTCCCCGTGTTTGTTGAATATTGCAGTTAGACGGCCTATGCGCTTGAAGGTGCCTAGGCGGAATCTATGCGGGCGTGTCACCGCGGAACAAGAGCGGTTTCAAATGCAATTGCGGGTTCTTGCTCATCAAATCGCGCTGGTGCAAGAGCCAGGAAAGGTTCAGGATGGCGCGTAAACAAGAAACTGTACTAACATGAACAGCGGAAGTGGAGAGCAGAACGTCTGGGACAACCGACCTGCCAGCCAGAACCAGAGCCTGTGCTGAGATAATAACTTCTTCCTATTAATCAACCTACCCCTAATCATAAAACTCCCCCGAGCCGCGGAAAAAAATACTTAATTAAACTGGCCAATACTAAACCAATACGAAACTCCTGAGACCATGCTTTCCACCAAGCTCCCAAAATATGCTTATTAGGGGTCCCCCCTCCAGAGTGTGTTCGCCAAACAACCCAACTTTATGAAACTGACCATGGGACACTCCCTTTCGAAGCTCTTACTTAAAAGTTGCAATCCGAGCAGGTTTTGCTCCAAATCAAAGGAGATCCACTTTCCAAAACAAGTCCAATACTCAAACTATCAACTGGATCTAGGCCCAAACCGGCGACCCCTAGCAATAAAACTCCCCCGCAGGATCTCTTTATTTGGGGGGGGGGGGGACGGTTTTCTACTAGGGAGAAGCGATTAACAACGCAGAAACCAACATATTATACTGTAATGCGCAGTCAACCAAGTGCAGAACCTTGGGCATCACGGCCTGGGATCGGTCAAATCCCTTTGATTAATTATCGGGATCTTCTCAAAATTCTCAAAGCCCGCCCACGCTCCGGCCCTGAAGCGAGCCCCTCCCTTCACCTGGCCCCAGCTCTGTTGCCCCTGGACCCAGCACCAATGCAACTCAGTCCACTTCATGCTTTGCAGCCTTGGGTTTCAGCTTGACGCGGTCACACTTTCCGCGACGTTTCTCATCTCATAGCCCCGCAGCACCAACCCAACCTCCACAAGCCTCAGCCCAAAAACAAATTTAGTTCAAGTTTCTTGCGATCAGTTTCCCCTGCGGCCTAGAAGACTGCTAAGCACAACCCCCCGCGCAACGCGTACAATTACTGCCGATCAATCCTCAGTCACGCCGCCGTTGCCGAAAAGGCATCAGCTGCGAAATCAAGCTGGCGCGGCCCACAAGTCTATGCCGCAATTGCTGCGCCGTTCCCAGAGGTCCGGATTATAATCAGTTCGATTTTCTTGTCTTCCAGCGCAATCTCGGACGGCGCGTGTTTTTGTTTGCTTCTTTTCATGCCAGCCGCTAGCGACGCATTGCACCCTGCAGTCACTGTAAGCGCACGCAAGTTCAAGCGCACGCTAGAATCCCACTCGTTCACACGGCACACGTGTCCCCCTGGATCTGCTTCTGAGAAAGCAAGAAACAGTCTAATCTTCATGGTTGAGGAACCTGGACTTGTCCTGGGTTGGCTTCTCTTGAAGTGATTCCACGCAATGCTATTATTAGCGGTCAAGACTGTGCGGGCGACCCGATCAAAACCACTCAAACCCCCCCAACGTTGGCCCTACTACCTGTCCCCGCAGGCCGACTTGATTTCATGACAAACAATTAGTATGTACAGCCTCATGTCTCACCAAAATCAAGCCGCCAATTTAGAATGCCAGCTGATTTACCCCCAAACACGTTCATCTGCAATACCTCAGTCTCTCGCGTCGGCGTCTCCTGCGACTGTGTGAGCTCTCATCGCTGCCGCCGCCTAAGGCAAGCAAACCAACCGCTAAGGTCAGACGTTCTCTTTTCAGACAAGCAAGGCCCCTCTGCCCGTGCGTGGGACAACGCGCGCGCGCCCGCGCAACTGCAGACTGAGACGTAGTCACAGACACGCGTGGAGACACGGCCAATCAAATTGAATTGGAGTGGAAGACCCGAAAAACACACAGTAATATGTGTTTTTCAGATCTTCCACTCCATTTCTAAGCAAGCAAGCAAGGGACATGCTGCCTCTTGGCGCCCTATCCAGTCTCTGTCTGCGCTACATCGTTTTTAAGCGAATCACAAAAACATCGCAGCACGCGCACACACCCCTCCCGCCCCCGCACATGCGCGTTGGCTCTAGAGCGCGTCGCGCGAGCACGCGTGCGCACGAACATGCGCACGCACACGCGCGCGCACCACACCGCACCACACCACACACCCACACACTTAGAATCCTGAAGGCGGAAGCCAACCATTATCTAACAACAGTTGAGAGGGAAATGGCCTCACGTGCCAACTTTCTAGGATCGAAAGCGCTACCAAATCAACTCAGTTCACACGCAACAGAAGAAAACAGAAGGACCTTTAGTCACACGAGCTGCGCAAACGCGGTGACCAGACTCCATATTAGTCATATCGCTCCGGGTTGCGTGACTTTGCTGGGCACGGTCTGCAATCTGGCGCGGCGCCCCTGCTTGGAAAATTGGCCACCTGTGTAGATGAAGGACTCCGCGCACACATGCTCCCGAAGGAGCGAGGTTCAGCAGAGAGAAACATACCAAAATCGAACCAAAACGAAGCAGTCTCGTGGCCAAAACAACCAAGACACAAGAAGCGTAAGGCCACCAAGGCTTAGGGTCTCTGCAAGCAACAACCCTAAATAACAAGAGCTGACCCTTGTAGACGAATGGCACTGCGAAGGCGCAGGTGGAAGACGAGGAAGCCATCCCGCAAAGGGACAAGCGGAAGACAAAGTCCCGGAGAGGCAAAGGAGAAGGAAGCCATCCCGCAAAGGGGCCAAGAGCAACAAACTTCTGGACGTAAAAGGGCGAGAACATGAAGAAGACGTAGACAGAGACGACAAAGAAGAACACCAGGTGGTTGAAACAAAACAAGACGAAGAAGACAAACAAGAATGAACAGCGGGAGGCAGAGGGAGCCACCTTGCAAAGGGGCCTTCAGCAAGACCATGGACAAGCGGACGGAGAATGGCACCCAGAGCAAGAAGCCGGAGAATGGCACCCAGAGCAAGACCAAAGACATGCGCAACCAAGCAAGTCAAGACAGGTAAACCTGTAACAAACTGAGGAAATACAGTCGAGTAGGCGCAACGCAGCGTCTCTTGCAAACGGCTGTCACACAAATCACGGCGAAGCCGTCCCGGGGTTGCTGAATCGGTACACCCCAGAGTCCCCCAAACGGCGGCACACACTTACACTCCCGAGGGGAGGAACCACTCAATATCGAGGCAACAGAGTCGCACACACAACAGGAGAAACACAAGGGCCAAAGGACAGACTCCGTGTCGCCTTGCTTTGGCGCCGCGCCCCCCCCCTGCTTGGAAAAGGACACGCGCGCAGGCACACTCCTCAGCATTTTGCCAAGCTCCGGGCTCCAGTCCTGGGGCAATTTGCTAACAAGGCTACACCAAAGCCTTGTTTACTGCCTGCCTCTTCTTGGTCGTCCTGCGAGCACGTGGGGCATCTATGTCACAGCCAGAAAAATCACGGGTTCGCACCTCGCTTACGTTTTTGCGGCGCGACCTTAGACGCAGTCATGCTGAAATGAACTGCAAGCATGCCAAAGTGCTGCCACGGCAAACTGCACCTTCCGACGCAGCTTAGTCTAACACTTGCCCTTCCTTTGCTTGGATCCATTGGCGCTCCCTGGCGAGGGTTTGACTTCACGTATTTGTTCACTTTCACAGTCATCAAACGCCATCAGCCTGGAGGGGAGGCACTCGCCGCGCCCATCCTTGGCAAACAAGAGGACGTCTGTGAAGCCGCGATAACCCCTCAATCACCCACTGGCTTCATGTTCAGATGCTTGCTATCACCCGTGATTGCTACCTTCCAAATCAGCTTGCAGCCCAGAAGCATACCCATGCTACCGCCGCCCGCGCTGCCCACACTCCCGGCCTCAACTGAATAGGTTTTTGTGGGTGCGTTGGTTTTACACGCTGGCAACCACGCCTGCACGAGTGTCTAAAACCGCGGGCGGGTGTGTATGCGAGCACGCAAACGCGAACTTGCCAACGCACGACTACCGTTCCAGAAACACTAAGCGAACACATGGCCAAAAAACAGATCTGCTCCATTACCCAGCCCAGCGCAGCTGGCACGCTAAGCGAACAAAGCGCCGGGCATGCGCCATCAACACTGGTGTTTCAAGCGCTGGCTTTGTGTTTCCCCACCCGACAGGAAGGGGTTATTAGGTTTCATGTTGGAATCCGCGTTTGCGATGCTTCTACACCACGCCCCCGCCCAGTATCCCGCCAGAGCAGCTCCAGTGGATCCCGCCGAGTATCCCGCCAGAGCAGCTCGCCGCTTTAGGGTCCCGCCGAGTATCCCACCAGAGCGGCTCGCCAGTGGATCCCGCCCAGTATCCCGCCAGAGCGGCTCGCCAGTGGGCCCCGGCGAGTATCCCGCCAGAGCGGCTCGCCAGTGGATCCCGCCGAGTGTCCCGCTGAGTATCCAAGAGTAGCTCGCCAGTGGATCCCGCCGAGTTTCCCGCCAGAGTAGCTCGCCAGTGGATCCCGCCGAGTATCCCACCACAACACCCGCCGAGCATCCTGCTGAGTATCCCAGAGTAGCTCGCCAATGGATCCCGCCGAGTATCCGCTGAGTATCCCTTGCCGGTGGATCCTGCCGAGTATCCGGCCAGTATCGAGCCGGAGCGGCTCGCCAGTATTCGCCAGTGGATCCCGCCAGTATTCCGCCAGAGCAGTTCGCCAGTCTGGTTTTGCTTAATGCCCCGCCCGGCGAAGAGTTGGGTTTACATTTCATGTTGGCGCCTTCGTGTTTTGAGTGTGCCCTGAGGCTCGGAAAGGGTGATGCTTTTGTGTTGCTTTGGGTTGCGAATAAGCAACTTCGTGTAATCCCCCGTCGGACTTTTTGGAAGGGGCTTGGCTTTTGTGAAACGGAACCGATGTTTGAGTTCTCGAGATCGGCTCGCAGACACGTGGAGTTTGACACGCAAACAGGTGGATAAGGCTCTCAACGCAAAGCTTGTGGAGCAGTCATAGGCCCCAAGCCGCTCGAAAACCATGCTTGAATTCACACAACCGTGTTCACGGACATAAGCTCGTGAGTGTGGAGGGTGGGGATTGCTCGAAGCGAAGTATGCTTTTCTTTAAATTACACCAGCCTCGACCCCAAACAGCAAGAAGGTATGACAAGTCTGTATAACCCAAAAAAGGCTTGTCTCCTTCACGCAAGGTGCGAACTTGAGTAGCTTATGTTACAATCAGTCCATGTATGTCCCTGCAGGAAGTCCCTCTTTTTGGGAAGAGGACACATCGGGTCCATCCATCTCCTTGACGCCGGGAAAAAGCATTGATATTGTTCATCGACTTCGGGGAGAAAATTCCATGTCAATGCCATGTTCGAGAGTGAAGGCCCCGCGGATTCGGGGTGAATCAAGCTAACAGCTGCATTAATCAAAGGAAGTTTCGACCTTTCGTAGTACGGACACTCAATTATGCGCTTTTCCATCACCGCAGCATTTGGTGGCCGTCTCGCTACTCTGCTGAAACTTGCGCATCAGTCTCAGCAGCTTGCGGCCGAGACTGGACACATGCCACTTCTGGTTGCTATCTTCTTCTCGAGCTCGGCTAAAGGTCTTGCCACAAGCAAAGCAAGCTGCGCCTTGTAGCGTTACGGCCGGGACATCCTCGCCTAGCAACGCAGACACACGCGCCAAATTGGCAAGCGTCAGCAATGGTGCCCGCTTGGCACGCACCTCTGTCACCCGGCACACCTCCAGAAAATCCTCAGTGTTTGAGCCGGCAGTAGCTTGGTCATCCAGGGCCTTCATCTCTTTCGTGTCCAGCGCGCCGCGTGCTCCCAAGGGCCAACGCATGGCTTTGCTCCATGCGCCCAACACCGCTCCGTTCTGGAACAAGCTTGGCTTTGAACGTCAGCTCCAGCCCTGCTCCATCTCGGAAACGTGTGAGAACTTTGCCCCAACTTACCAATGCTGGCTGCACAGTGGACACCACCAGCTTGGCCGTGTTCATCTTGGAGTTGGTGCTTACGGTTCGCAGACTGGTGTTCACATGTGTGGTGAACGACCGGCGGCCGTCATTCCAACGCACGCCGCTGGCAACAACTTCTGGGCCTTGCGTTCACTCAGCTCCAGCAGCACTGTAATCAACTGGCCGGGTTCGTGAACTCTTTCCAAAATGTCAGGAGCACCTATGCATCAACCAAGTTTTTCGAGGAGAACTCGACAAGTGCAGGGACGATGCAAACAACTTTTACGAGCTAATGGTTTGGTTGGGGACCCGACTCACCCAGGCTATACTTCCAGGACAGTTCTTTCTGGAAACCGGTGAGAAAAACCTTGGAGCGGACCCCCTCCCTTACGATGCAACAAGATGATAAGCACGCCTGCTTGACTGTGTGTTCGCTCGTCGTTTTCTGCGATAGCAGCAGATCACCAAGAGCAAGTAACCAGGAAACCACCAAGCCACTCTGCGATTGGCGAAACGGCTCTTGTTGATGGGACCCCAAAAAGAAAGCATCAAACACGGCGGCGGCGTTGGAAACTCTTATTAGATTATAGAGCCACCGAACATGTCGAAACATGGCCATGACCGTGCCTCCTTGTTGCAATCACCACATTGAGCACCAGAGCCGCCATTCCGTAATGTTGCTGGGGAGTTCGCCACGCTCGGAACCGATGTTCAAGGCGTAGTGGAGGCGAAGCTGTGTCGTCAAAGAAGAAATGGGTGGGCCATGTCTGTAGCACGTGTTGGTCTTGATGCTATCAGCACATCCCTGCAGCTTGGTTTTCCCGACAAGCCACGTATGCTGCGAGCAAGTAAATCCGAATCTCGCCCGGAGCTGCCAAATTCAAGTCGAGGTCTCGCAAAAAGAACGTTGATTGCGAGAATGAAATGGAATTGCTCGGATTTCCAAAAAGACTCACTGCGGGAGGCTAGCGCAAGCGCCATGCAATACGGCTCACGTTGACCGCTTTGGTGTTCTATGGGTCCAGAGACTGTAGGGAAGCTAGCGCCTCAGAGGATGGCACCTTACGACGTCCAGCCATGAAAACCCTTGAGCCCTCGCACTTGCAAGCCCTGGCACTTTCAGACACGTGCAAAACAGCAGCGTCCATGTTGCGGAATATGTGGAAACAAGGCTGAGACATCTGTCTTCAACCCTTCTGTCAGGAGGCAACGAGATATGTCAAAGCTGCGACCTTGCCAGGTGTGAAATGCTTCAGCAAAATGCGTTTCGTTTGTCAGTGGGACTGGATTGCATAGGTGAGGAAAAAGCGTCGCAGTAAATGTGTCCATTTCGTTCTCGAGAAACAAATACTTTGCTCAGGATTCTGAGCTGCTTTTTGGAAGCACCGCACTTGTTGGTCAGGTGCAGGTTTGCATTCTGGCGCATCAGCAGAGCCCTGCCGAGCCTTAAATATGTACTGTTGTTTTCGATAAACAAATACCGTGACATCCGCCTGATTGCTTTGCTCAGGGTTCAAGTTGCTGAGAGAACTTGCTCAGATAATTTGTGCCAAGAACTTGCCTGGAGAACTTGGTCAAAGGAACTCGCGCCAACAACTTGCTCAGAGGAACTTGCGCAGAGAACTTGCTAGGATTACTTGGCGCCGCGCGCTGCTCATGCTTTCGGGCCACCCATCTTCTAGTCTCCTCTTGGTAGCATCACTGTAGTTCGAGCATCCTTTCTTGTTGAAAGGCTCGACAGGGCTCTGCTGATGCGCCAGAAACCTGCACTTGACTAAGAAGTGCGGCACTGGCTTCCAAAAAGAAGCCTGAGCAAAGCAATCAGGCAGATGTCACGGTATATTTGTTTATCGAGAACAATATACAGATTTAAGGCTCGACAGCTCTGCTGAACAAAAGTACATATTTTAAGGCTTGACAGATCTCTGCTGATGCGCCACGCAAGGATGCAAACTTGCACTTGGCCAAGAAGTGCGGCACTGGCTTCCAAAAAGCAGCTCAGAACCCTGAGCAAAGCAATCAGGCGGATGTATATTTGGTTATCAAGAAAAATGGACACAGGGGCCCTGCTGATGCGCCACAAGGATGCAAACCTGCGCTTGACCAAGAAGTGCGGCGCTGGCTTCCACAAAGCAGCTCAGTATCAGCCGGATGTCACGGTATTTGTTCAGCTGATGCGCCACAAGGATGCAAACCTGCGCTTGGCCAAGCATTTAAGGCTCGAGCTCAGCATGCGCCACAAGGATGCAAACTTGCACTTGACCAAGAAGTGCGGCGCTGGCTTCCAAAAAGCAGCTCTGTGTCCGCCGTATTTGTCTATCGAAACCAGTCTACATATTTAAGGCTCGGCAGGGCTCTGCTGGTGCACCACAAGGATGCAAACCTGCACTTCGCCAAGAAGTGCGGCACTGGCTTCCAAAAAGCAATCAGCCGGATGTCACTATATTTTTGTTTTTTATCGAGAATCATAGACATATTAAAGGCTCGACAGGGCCCTGCTGGTGCGCCACAAGGATGCAAACCTGTGCTTGACCAAGAAGTGCGGCACTGGCTTCTAAAAAGGAGCTCAGTTTCCTGAGCAAAGCAATCAGCCGGATGTCACGATTTGTTTGTTTATCGAGAAAAAATAAGGCTCGACATTGCTTGCTTCTAGCTCCAACGATGCTCCACAAGGATGCAAACCTGCGCTGGGCCAAGAGAGAGGCACATCCTTTGCACACAGGCTAACAGCAAAATCTGCGACATGCCCTTTCCCCATTGCGAAGCATGTTGCAAGTGGTTCCTGCTGACTTGCCGAATCTATGTTTCTAGCTTGATGCTTCTCAATTGCGCTTGCGAGCTGCTGCCACGTGAGCCGAAGGGAGCCGAAGGGAGCCGAATGCCGGTTACTGGATGCCAAGCAAGCCATTTCAGGGTAAGAAGAAACAGGTTCAGTTGGTTTTGCCCGGGACCTTCAATTTTCCTGTCGAGGGCTGTAAGCAGGAAAACAGCCCAGCCCCAAAACTCGCAAGGAAGAAGCAGCTTCAGTTGGTTTAGCCCGGGACCCTGTTGAGGGCTATAAGCATTAGGAGACAGGAGGCACGACGCGGAGCCAGCGTCACAGCATCTGGCGTCTGACCGCGGAGACTGGGAGACACGACCCGGCAGCCAGCGTCACAGCATCTGGCACCGCAGAGACCTTGAGAGACACAGGGAGACAAGCGGGAGACACACCCCGCAGCCAGCGTCACAGCATCTGGCCTTTCAATGAGAGACTGGGAGACAGGGAGACAAGCGGGAGACACGACATCTGACCGCAGACACTGGGAGACACAGGGAGACAATCGGGAGACACGACCCCGCAGCCAGCGTCACAGCATCTGGCACCGCAGAGACCTTGAGAGACACAGGGAGACAAGCGGGAGACACAACCCCGCAGCCAGCGTCACAGCATCTGGCCTTTGAATGGAGAGACTGGGAGACAGGGAGACAAGCGGGAGACACGAGCCGGCGTCACAGCATCTGGCATCTGACCGCAGAGACGGAGACACCACCCCGGAGCCAGCGTCACAGCATGTGGCGTCTGACCGCAGAGACCTTGGGAGACACAGGGAGACAAGCGGGAGACGCGCCACAGCATCTGGCATCTGACCGCAGAGACTGGGAGACAGGGAGACAAGCGGGAGACACCACCCCGGAGCCGGCGTCACAGTATCTGGCATGTGACCGCAGAGACTGGCAGACACAGGGAGACAAGCCGGCGTCACAGCATCTGGCATCTGACAGAGACTGGGAGACACAGGGACAAGCGGGAGACACAACCCTGGAGCCGGCGTCACAGCATCTGGCATCTGACCGGAGAGACTGGGAGACAGGAAGACAAGCAGAAACAGGACCCCGGAATCGGCGTCACACTTTCCCATTCTCTATACCTCAAGTTAGAACCCCAATGCTTCGCTGTTTGGGGAAAAAAGAACGCATTCAATTCGCCACAGCACTCAAGAGTGGGATGCGGTCACATCCCTATCTAGATCAAGGGGGCCACGCCAAATTTGCTTGTCTGGGTGTATGTTTGGACGTCCCATGTTTTTTTTCCAGTTTGTCCCCTGTTCTGGGGTAACGTTTCTTTGGACGCCCCGTATCGTTTCTTCGTGAAACACTCCTACCTAAACTAAACAACGGTAATTTTGCCGCTAACGCTCCTTCCCCACCATGCCTCCCTCCCCTTTGCAACGCACGCGCAAGTCAAAAGCCCTGGGCAGGCATGCTCACAGTTCAGAGTCAGTTTTTGGGCTTTTGGGCTGCTCACCTTTGGTTATTACAAAATCAGAGGTGGCCTGTCCAAAAGAAAACGACGACGTTGCGAACAAGCAACAGCACATCCCCAGCTAGGGACAAACACTTGAACAAACAAAGGCAAACCGGAGGCCCCTGCTCAAGCTCCGTGAAGGAACGCTGGCAAAACGAGCAAGACGCATCAGCATGAGAAAGTTTTATCTTCTGTTTGCATTCTTCCTTTTAAAAAGGTCCCCGCGGGACTGGAGCCGGGAGCTTCTGTACGTTGGCTCCGTGTGTTGGCTTTCTTTTCCCTGTCTGTGGCGTGTGTAGTTTTTGTTTGCAACTTCCTCTTCTTTTGAAAGCTACTGATGCACGCACGCGACAGCAGGACAGATTCTGATTGCGTCAGTAGCACCCCCCATTCATGACTTCTGGCGACCCATCCACAAAAAGGGAAAACAGAATGAACAAACAAAGGCAAGCCCAAGGTGCCTCCTCAAGGCCTGTGGGGCCTTACAGGAAAGAATCTAAACAGGAAAAAGGCGAGAAGCAGCAGCAGCACAGCGCTGGATTTCATCAGTAGCACCCGCATCCATCACTTTTTTCTGGGGACCTGTCCCAAAACAACAGAGGAAGTTGCAACATCCCCAGCAAGGTAACGGAGGCGAACCCAAGGCACCTACCCAAGTCCCGTGAAAGAGAGCGAGCAAAAGCAAGAAAACAAGAAGCCTCAGTGGGACAGAACTCCGGGGACCTTTTCTTCAACAGGAAAGCAACACTGTGCTTAAGCGGCAATTTTGACAGGCAATCTCACTCAAGGTTGGCCGAAACGCGCCTGCCCGTCTCTGCCATCGGCGGATCTGTGCAGCAAGGCTGTTGCACTGACGCCTCCCCTTTGCACATCAATTTGTTGTTCGGTGGGCAAGCTCAGGGTGTGCCGTTGGAATGAAACTGGTCACGGCTGTCCGTTGGTCTAAGCAACAGCTGCCAGCTGTTGTCGAGACTTGTCATGACACATGATCATAGTCACTGGATAAGCGGGGTCAGCAGCGCTGGTCTCACCAGCGTAAGTGGACAATGGGCTTGTGATTACCGCCGAGGCACTGCTATCAAGCACTCTAAATGAATGTGAGACCACGATCCCATATTCAGGATTCGGGCATCAGCTTGGCTGAGAATTATGGGCATCGGGAAGAAAGCTGAACGTGAACAAGGAACGGCCATAGCTAGGGATGCTACGGCAGGCCTCAGGGTGTGGAAGAGTTTCACAACAGTTGCAGGTATCTGTCCATGTCTCCTCCCGCCTTGATGACACCATGCCTGGCAAGGACCACTAAGCGTTGACGTCTTCAAAGCTGCCACGCAGACTCTTGACTGGAGCACTATGTTGGGCACTATGTTGGGCACTATGTTGGGCACTATGTTGGGCACTATGTTGGGCACTATGTTGGCTAAGTCCCAGGCCCCATGAACGCAGGCTTGCCAGGCTTGCAAACTACTGGAAGCAAAACACTGAAAATCTTATTTATGTAATCCTCATTTCAAAGCCTTGCCAGCTCGATGTTGCATTGCTGCTTGTATCTATCCATTGACATGACTGAGATTGTTACAAGCACAACAGTCTCCTCATGCGCCGCTGCTTGCAGCCACAAACGCAGCGCATTGAACCCAACATCGTGCTCTTGCAGGTCTGAAAAACGCCGAGGTGCTTGGAGAATAAGCAGCGTGTCTGTGTGAAAAATCAGCTTGTGCTTTGCAAGGTCTCATTTTTGAACACAGGCAGCAGACTCTCTTTCTTGAGGGCCCTGAATTTCCTACGTAGGCTGATGCTAATGCCTTTCTTGTCTATCCCTTTGGGATGTCAGACCGGCATCGCAAGGATGCAAACATGCGAGGGGCGTCGCCAAATTGTCAGGCTGAGAACATACAGTACATATTTATCTTAATCGAGCCTTGAAATCTGCCCGAAACTCCCAAAGAAACACAGTCGCAAGCAGGGCTCTATCGATAAGAAGCAATACAGCAATCTGAGCTTTGTTTGATCTGCTCTTTGCTTTCGTTTCTTAGGCATTGAGGGTGGTGTCGAATTCCTGAAAGCTCTCTTGCTCCTGCTGCAGCAATGAAGTGACAAAGGACGCCAAATAGAACATCAAAGTGTGTAATGGGCAGTTGCCAATGACGCACCTACACATCTGTGCAACTGTGCTCCTTCGACGAAATTGATGGTGCCGATGCCTCTGTGCTTTCTGGATACCTGCGTCATGGCATATCAACCCAATACTGGCTTCCTGCTGATGTAACAGACAATTGTCCAATCCACAGCACCTCGTTCAAACAATGACAAGCATGAAAACTCACCCGCTGTGGTGCAACTGGGCCGATCAAGTGCAAAATCTGATGCTGCAAGAGCTGGTCATGGACATTTGATCACCGGCTTTCTGCTGATGGCTCTTCGGATCATTCCGAACAGGTCAACAAGGGGCACTGATGGTATCCCCCACCTCCACACCCCACCCGGCAGACATGCATACACATACTCACATATCCTGGCATGGCCTTTCGAACATTGAAGTATCATCAGCAGATTGCACTGGAGGTTGAAATGGCGCAGGGACCTTGCAGGCTGTGGCTTTTTAATTGCAGTGGTCATCCAGCGACCCTTGCCGGCGCATGGTGCCTAGCATGCCATGCGCATGCAGGCTCAAATGCGGCAGGTGGGTCTAAGCTCATCACGCCTCGAGCCATGAGCAAGTCCCAGTCAGTCCCCTTGGCAGAGTGTGACTCTAAGACTTCTGCCCACGAATGCTGCCAATGCTGTTTATGCCGTCCATGCTGTTTCAAACAGAACAATACTGATGTGCGTATGGTCTGTGCTTTGACACCTTGATTTCCCACATAAATCAGCGTCGCGCACCCGAGCCAACGCACCTTGTACCACTTGTGCTTCTTGATGTCATCCACACCAGGCCTTTGCAAATGCAAAGGGCACATATCATCCTATCTATTGTTCTCAGCAACTTGGATTGCGACTTCAAGCATCCAATGCGCTTTGTCCGGTCTGGTGTCAAAAGCTTTTTCACCAAATCCTGCCGGAACCCAGAGCACAGCACGAACCTTGCTGTCTCCAATCCGACATCCCACACCTTGGCTTTCATGTCAAAGTGGCGCGGAAAGTCGACTCGGCCTTGCAGGACCTCAGGAGAATGACTTCAAACCGCACTTTAAGTTGTCACAGTGCCTTGTTGTAGATGCCAAAGGGATTCTCATCATAGAAGGGTGGATATCCTCACCAGAAACACTGCTTCCATTTGTTTTACAAGGCTGGCGGGAGCATTCTCAATTGCATTAAGCAGGTTCATACGCACTTGTTAGCTAACTACACGTCAGCCTCAAAACTTAGCAGGCCGACCATGAACTACAGGGTCTTGATTCCTCAATCAAATCTGACCACATCATTGATGCAGGACACATCCTGCTGAAGACGACCCAGGCACAACATCAAAGCAGAACAACGGTGTTATAAGCGATACACACACAGAAACCGTTGTGTGACGGCAACCAACTGCCACTTCGAGCTATCCCCGCCCGTTTCCACCGCAATTTGTCTGACTCACGAAAAACCCAATTGGGCGCATGTGCCGCGTGACCGACACTGGGGAATTTGGAGCTTAGGCGCACAACTGGGCGTGCCTGCCTTCCTGCCTGCCTGCCTGCCTGATAGATCGGCAAAAGCATCCCGCCGGGTCGGTCGTGCCTTTTCAAAAACAGTCAAACACGTGGCCCTGCCAAAGACTTCTTGAGCCACGTGCTATACGTTCCTGCCATTATTCAGGAAGCAGCCTTGTCGCCCCTCACAGCGGGACGCAAATGTCGCAACCTCGACAGGTGCAGGGCATGGAACGTAGCCACTCCCTCCGCAACCGGCAACTTAGTTTATTCTGCCACCGCTGTCTGGGTCAACTCTGTCACAGTTGTCATAGGAAACTAATTTTCAGAGCTGACGTCGAATAGCGCTGATGCGATGCTGCCGGGTGGAGGCGCCGTTTTCTCTGGTAAAACTTGCAAAGCTCATGGCAGGTCCTGTGTGATGCTAGCCCCAATGAGCTTGCCCTTGCGCTGTTTTTTGCCGCTGTGGTTTCTTGCGTGTTTCCATTTGAATCAAAAAGCCTGGCCCGACCCTCGACTACTTGGACATGATAGTGCCATTTCGAACAACTTCCAAATTTGTCATTGTGAATGCAGGTTGTTTCAATGTGTGAGTGCGTGTGTGTAAAACACTAGAAGCGTAGGGCTTCCACAAACAGGCACACAGTCATCTCTTGATTCTGAATATCAAATGCATACCATGGGCAATTCAGCTGTGTCACTTGCGCTTGGTGACTTGATGTATCTCTGCCATCAACAAAACATCTACTTGGACATCACTCTTCGCTGGCGGCACACAATTCTGAGAACAAGCAAGCAAGGCGGGCTTCTACAACATGCAGTCCTGCTAGCATCTCGAAAAGAAGGATGCCCAAGGCCCACCAATCAACTCCCTGGCAAAATGACAGCCTCAAATGCCAAAAATCGCAGTGGAACCAAGCGGTGAGATCCGGAGTCCTCGCCGACATCCTGCCTTGCCATGGCCTTTGGACTGTATAACCTCTGGAGCAAGGTACCTTGTGCAGTTGAGAAGGCAATCCACAACTTGACGGATTAGCCTTGCGACAGTAATGCTTTGTATTAGCTAAGGGCACTCAGGTGTACCACAAAGTGTCCAGGTTCTCTCTTCGACAACCTAAAGTAGGGCGGAAGCACAAAACCGTACCAGCACATGTCAATCATTGTGACACAAACAATGGCCTTGGCAAAGCCAAAGTCAGTCAGCTTCACATGGCCATCTGAATCTAACAGCACATTCCTTGGTTCGTCCCGATGCGTATTCGATACATTCACATGCCGCTGCTTCGATCGTGCGAATGGCTGGCCCACAGGACACTGCTGATACAAATGTGCCATGTAGCACAACGCATCCCTCACGGTGGAAGGCTCTCTTTTTCCCAGGTTCGGCTAGATGCGTTGTCCATTACGACTTCTGTTATTCTTACTCTTATTCTTCTTCTTATTACTACTACTACTACTACTACTACTACTACTACTACTACTACTACTACTACTACTACTACTACTCCTACCACTGCTGCTGCTGCCGCCGCTGCTACCACTACTACTACTTCTTACTACATAGTACTTGCTACCGCTACTGCTGCGCAATCAAATCCCACCGGCGCACGGCCGCCGTCCGTCACCAAGTGGACCAAACCCCACCCGGCGCTCTCTGTTCATCGGCTGGACGATCCCGCATCCCACCGGCGCACTTGCCGTCGGATCCATCCTTGGGCCTCCGTTAAGGCAAATCCCACCGGCGCACGGACGGCCCCACCTCGCTCTCGCGCCAAACCCCCAGCGCCAGAGGGTTTGAGCAAACACCCTTGCGCGATACCCCTGCAAAATATCGAGAAGACCGAACACATGTCATAACCAACCTGACATAAGTGCTAGCCATGTAAACCCAGCACCACCTCAAGCCCATTCAGCCCATACTATGCAATGATAGCAATAAACATGATAAGGAAAGTAGCAGCGCCGGAGAGAGTAGCAGTTGAACAAACAAGCAACCAAGCAGCCCGAGCACCAAATTAAGCATATGTTGCGCACAGGTAAGATGAAGAAAGAATAAACGCGCGCAAGACAACTTGCGGGGGCGTGCAGCGGGGGAATAGAAGCTGCAGAAAAAAAGTGACCCTCTGCGAGTTTTGGCGGGTCTGCATCGACGTCAACCACCTCTGTAAGACGCCTGCCTGGCGCAGGTGCCTCGCGCGTGCGGCGCGGTCTCGGCGAGGTCTCGGCGCACGGCCCATCGGCACAGCAACACGAAGGCTCCGCAAGCTTATAACTGCATGGCACGCGCGGCGCTTTCGTAAGGCGCAGATTTCGTGGCAGGCGCAGCACTTTTGCGAGGCTTGGTGCAGATTTCGCGGCAGGCGCTTTCGCAAGGCCAGACACAAAGAAATAGATATACGGAAATCTGGAAAGTGAATAGATCAGTAGATAGATAGAGAGGTAAGATAGCCAGCTAGGTAGAGAGAGAGAGGAGATAGATAGACACTAAAAGGTAGATAGATGGATATACAGACACAGAAGGGGAGAGAAGATAACTAGATAGCTAGATAGCTAGATGGCTAGATAGATAGATAGATTAGATTAGATTTAGATTAGATTGATAGATGCATAGATAGATCGATAGATAGATAGATAGATAGACAGACAAAAAGATAGACAGACAGAAAGATAGACAAATAGATCGATAGATAGATAGACACATAGATACATACATAGACATACAATTTGATAGCAGATAGAGAAGCTAAGAGAAAGAGAGAGAGAGAGAAAGAGAAACAAAAAGAAAGAGAAAGTGAACGAGAAAGTGAACGAGAAAGAGGAAGAAAGAGGAAGAAAGAGGAATAAAGAGAAAGAAAGAGGAAGAAAGAGGAAGAAAGAGGAATAAAGAGGAAGAAAGAGGAAGAAAGAGGAAGAAAAAGAGAGAGAGAGAGAGAGGGAGGGAGGGAGATAGATAGAGAGATAGACGGATATATAGATACAGGAAGAGAGAAAGAAAGCAAGAAAAGAAAGAAAGAAAGAAAAGAAAGAAAGAAAGAAAGAAAGAAAGATTGGTGGATAGATGGCTGCTGGCTAGATGGAGAGATCGATGTGTAAAGAAATAAATCAATAATGAAATAAATAATAATGAAAGAAAGAAAGAAAGAAATAAAGAAAAAAAGAAAGAAAGAAAGAAAGAAGGAAAGAAAGAAAGAGAGAAAGAGAGAAAGAGAGAAAGAGAGAAAGAAAGAAAGATAGAAAGAAATAAAGAAAGAAAGCAAGCAAGAAAGGAAGAAAGCAAGAAAGGAAGGAAGGAAGGAAGAAAGGAACAACAAAACAAACAAGAACAATAAGCAATAATTGAAAGAGAACCATAACTATAGTCTATATTTTAGAAACTTCCGACCACCGGCTTTGCCGGCTCTATGCTATAATAGGTTTCAGCCTGGCGCATGGCGCAAGCGTCTCATTACTGATCAGTGAGGGATTGCGAAGAAACAAGCAACGTGAAGCATTGTTTTGTCATACCAGGTGTTGAATTCGAAGGTGGCTGCAAAGGACCGCCTGGTACACAGATGCAAAGTCAAGAGGGCTGCGATAGCTGCTTCGAGTTACACCCTCGCAGAATGCTACCAAAGCGCTCGGGCTTTAGATCTCGATAGATTATGTGCAAGTTGTGAAGATACCTGCGATGAAAAGCTGCAACGAAAGGAATGCCAACCCTGGGCTGTTGGCATACGGCCAGCGCAATCTGAGAAGCTTGCCCGAACACGAGCACAATTTCCTCAGCTCCAGTACATGGCATCCAATCTAGCAACCGGCTTGAGTCATCGACAGGAGGTGATGATTGCCTGCTGACAAGCGTCGCCAGAGTAGAAGCGGACGTGATCATTTGGAAGGCGCCCTTCTCGTCTCAAATACCTGCGCTCAGTGGCTTATGACCGGGCCATGTCGTTTCACCACTCACAACCAAACGAAGTATCACGGCAGAACAAACAGGTATAATGTGCCACTGCAGAAACTTCTTGCAGGGGCGGCCACGGTTCTCCTAGCAGCAACACTCGGCAGTAAGTGTTGCGAAACCCTTGTAGTGCATAAGGATCCCACTGTTGGGGTGCGAAACCAGGTGCGGGAAGTGGTGCGCATCTTGGACTCACAAACCAGTTGCCAAATGAAGCCTCTATTAGCCTCAATTTTAACCGCAAAATCAGGTGCCGCAGTGGTTCGTAGTGTGTCGCGCAGTGTGGGTGTCAAGCCGAGGAGAGGCCTGTTAAGCGGCGCGCAGCGCGTGCAACACGCTGGACAGGGACCACAAGTTGCCCTAATTAAGTAGAACAATGACAATTTTGCAACACAATTTCAGAAAGACTTTTCAAGTTGCTGGCCAACACGGGTGTCTAAACTGTCCCTAAGGCAATTGGCTCACAGTTTTTCAGTTCAGCCGCTCAGCCATTTATCTCTTCAAACATCACACACTGCATAAGGCTAGGCTATGTTGGTGTTTTGGCTTCGTATTGTCCGGCCATTTTGGGGCATGGGCCGAGGTGCAAAAAATGTGTCTTGTCTTCGGCGGGGGGATCCAGATCCCTAGTGTGTCAGCTCTGAGTCTCTGGGAAGTTTCCTGGCCAGCTCCCACCGACCAGTCCCACCAGGGTTGCTGAAGCCAATTTGCCGCGGCATGATTCGCACCTCAAATCTACCTTCAAAACTGCCCCTCGGAACCAAGACCCATTCTCCGCACCACGATTTGCGCCAGAAACAGAAACATCATGCTTCATTTTTTCGGATAGGTCCTCAGGGTTCCTTATGCATTACGAGGGTGTTGCGAAGCGCAATCTCCCCGAAGCCGAAGTAACTTGACCACAGCACACATATCGACAAAAGAAATGTCAAACCAGCCCTGTAATCGATGTCGTCTCTCTGGTCTACAGGAGCTCTTCTGCAAGTTGGGGAGTTGCACGGCAGCGTTCAGTTATGCCTCTTGCGCAAGTTGGGGGCAGCATGAAATGTGCTTCCTAAGGCTTGGCTGGAGCCAGTCTTCAACGGCGGTGACCTCTCACCCGCCAGGCAGAAACATCGCCGCGCCGCAGTGCGCTGCGCACTTGGGGCTGTGATCATGTTTGTCATGCTGCTAAACTTTTCATGCTGGCGACGGGTGTTGCAGCACGCATCATGCTCAAAAATTTTTTTGGCACCAATCAGCTCTCCTGGCCATTGTGCCATTTGAGATTGTGTCAGATGTTGCAAATCACTGTGGTGACGGATTGCAATGCAAATGCGCGAATCATACTTTGAACAGTTTGTGATTGAGGAGTGGTCTGTGGCGTGGCCATCTTTTGCAGCTGGTGAGGTGGAGCGTCCCACATCTTTCCCCGGCGATTAGCTTTCGTCGTCTTACCTTCTCCAGCACCTGCTTCTGTGATTTTGTATAGGACAACGCATGCGACATGGGCACGAAAAGAGCTCGCCGCCATTGACGTACTCGAGCATCATGAAAAGCCTCTTATCGTCCTCAGGGGCTGCAACATGTTCAACACGCTTCTGCGAACTTGGTCAATTAGCTACATTTTGCAGCATTTCGAGCCCAGCTGTTGACATGCACATTGTCTAACTCATTCTGTCTTGGCAATTAAGGCCTGATTTGAAGTCAAAGGCTGAACAGGATGCAAGTTCCTCAACGTCCACATCTTCACAAAATGTTTGCCTCTTGCACAATCACCCTAGCCGCGGTTGTAGGTTTATGCATCGCTGGAACTAATCGAGCTGCGCTTGGTTGAGAAGCACGGCCCTGTGCAGACATTGTGACATACGGCCCTTCCGCACGCCCCAGTATCATCTGTGGGTGGGTCCTTTTTTAGGAGCAAAACCAACGGAATTGCCGCAAGAAGGGCCAGAGCCTTCTGAGGGCGCTGCGCAACAACTTCTGAGTGGGGCGAGCTTCTGCGTGGATTGGGCCGGGCAAAGCCTTTCAGCAAAGCCTAACTCGCACTCGAGCTTCGAGCCATCAACTTGCTAATCCAACCGAACCAGCTAGCTAGCTAGCGCACCTGGCTCACTGGGCCACTTATCCAAGCAAGCCAGCTCACGAGCTAGCAAGCTAACACGCTAGCGAACTGTCCGACTAGCTAGCCTGCTCCTCTAACTTGCTAACATGCTAGAAAGCCATTTAACTAGCTAAAAACCAAACGAGCTAGTTAGGAACTAGCGTAGCTACCTAACCAGTTAACTGCTACAGTGCGATACAGTGCGGACACTGCATAGAAATCCCATGGTTAGGAACTCGAGACTCTGGGCATCGAAAAACACCCAAAAACAGCGCTAGCTAGCTAAGAACGTCACCATGATTTTGGTCTCTGAAGACCAAACAAGTGAGACCAGCGAGACAAACATGTGAGTGGCAGGCTCAGATTAGATTGCATGGACTGAATTCACTTGGCTGAAACCAGCCAGCAAGAACAGACCTCAAAGCGCAAGTAAGCAAGCCCTTGGAGCTTTTTAGTCAGCATTGAGCCGGATTTCACTCACTCTGGCACAAGAAGGGCAACGTCTGAGTTTCTCACTGTCTTACTCGCAAACTAGATGACTGGCCAATAAACCTGCTAACTAGCTACCTATATAACTGGCAAACTAGCTAGCTAGCGAAAATAGCACATTGAGCCAACTACATTGGAGGCCTTGGCGAATTTGGAGAATCTGAGACTTCATCAAGGTGAGCAGCGATTAAACACAGAATTCACTGCTTCTGGCACTTATGAGGTTTGATTTGTTTCAACCTTGCCCAAACTGTGTCCCAGGAAGTCCAGAAAATTGTTTCGCGGCGGCTCACTTTCTCAGAAAGAACAAACTTCACATAGGGTAAGAGGATGGCTGAAAATGCATGGCGCAAGTGCGTATTGGTCATGGTCACGGCGTGAGGTGATGTTCATTGGTTTCGGAGATTTGCGTCGCTTCCGCGAGGTGGTGGCCTGGCGGTCTGGCGCTGGTTAATTTTGAATGTGTGCCTTTGTGACTCGCATAGGCAGTTTGGTCCCAGATCAACACTGGATGGCTTGGATTACGATTTTTCAGTACTGAGCTCGACAAACATAGAATAATATGTAGCCTGAACCTGATGTTTGCCATGTAAACATGACGATCTGCATGCCCAAACGCCCTCTACATGGCTTGACAATGTTGATGTTTTGCCTCTTGTGTTCATATTGCTCTCCCAAAGCAAGTGGGATCACTTGCAACTACAGTTGTGTGATATTCAACATGTCAAAAGCCATTGTGCAGTGGATTCTCCTTAGTGATGTTTTCTTTTCTGAACACGCTCATGTCAGAAAACAACAACAAACAATACAAACTGATTCACGCCGACGCGCTTAATCTCGGACGCCTTGGTTAAGATGTCACCGCGCGCAACCGACCCGGCCCCCGCACCCCTACATAATTTACTACGGGCGGAAGCGTGCCGTTCCAACTTCTTAGCTGGCAAACAAGCTAAAAATTGGCCAGCTCGTGCAAGCCAGCTCGCTTGCTAGCTCTCGAGCTGGCTTTCTACCGAAACATCTAATCAGCTGGCCATCCGCCGACCCCTTTCCTAAAGCCATGTTGGTCTCCGCACAGGAGCGAGGCGTGCTCTAAGTGGCGGCTAACCAACCCTAACCTCTAACCCTAACCCTGACCTCCAGCCTGGACCTCTCGCCTCTAAGCCCTAACCTCGGCTCTACTTCCAACCCTAACCTCTAACGCTAACGTCTAACCCTAACCTTTCATCCACCCCAGCCTCTAACCACTCCTCACCCCTGGCTCTCACGTCTAAATTAAACCTGCCTCCATCTGTTTACTCGAGCCTTTCACCAGCACCGTTTCTGCGACACTACTACCAGTAGAGCCGGCGAAGCCGGTGGGCGGAAGTTTCGAAAAATGCATTTGTTTGGCTATGTTTCTCTTGCTTGTCTTGAATATTGTTCTCTTCTTCTTCCTTTTCATTGTTTCTTTGTTTCTTCGTCATTCTTTCTTTCTCTCTTTCCTTCCTTCCTCCTTTGTTTCTTTCGTTCTTTCTTTCTTTCATTCTTTGCTTTTGTTCTTTCTTTTATTTCTTTTTTGTCTTTCTATTGGTGACTTTTGCGCTGTTCTTCTTTTGTCTCTTCCCAAATATCTATCTATCTATCAATCGATCTATCTATCTCTCTATCTATCCAATGTATCTATCTCTGTATCTATCTAACCTACCTACCTACCTGTCTATCTCTTTCTCTATCTTTCTGTTCATCTATCTATCTATCTCTTTATCTAGCATTATCAATCTATCTATCTATCTCTCTATCTATCTATCTATCTATCTATCTCTCTATCTATCTATCTATCTATCTATCTGCTTATCTCATCTACCTATCTGTCTGTCTAGCTATCTATCTATCTCTCTCTCTCTTTGTTTATCTATCTATCTATTCATCTGTATGTTTGCCTGTCTACCTATCTCTTTATCTAGTAATTATCTCTTTGTGTCTATCTATCTAGGAATCTATCTCTCTCTCTCTTTATCCTATCTATCTACCTTTTCTCTACCTATCTCTCTTTTCATTCTTTATCTATCTATCTATCTATTTAGCTATCTGTTTATCTCGCTTGATATCTATCTATGAATTTATCTATCTATCTATGTCTTTTCCTCTATCTATCTGTCTATCTATCAATTCATTTCTGTAATTATCTATCTGTCTGTCGATCTGTCTGTTCTCTATCTATCTCTCTTTTCATCTATCTATCTGTCTATCTGTTTGTCTATGCGTCTATCTGTCTCTCTCTCTCTCTCTCTTTCTCTCTTTCTCTCTTTTCCTCTATCTATTTGTCTATCTATCTATCTGCCTATCTATTTTTATCTTGTATCTCGCTTGTTATCCATTATCTATCTATCTATCTTCCTATCCGTCTATCAATCTCTCTCTCTCTCCCTCTTTCTCTCTTTTCCTCTATCTAGTTGTCTATCTATCTGTCTATCTACCTATATCGCTTGTTGTCTATTTCTCTATCTATCTGTCCATCTATCTATCTATCTATCTATCTCTTTATCAAACAATTTCCCTATCTATCAATCTATATATCTATCCTTGTCTATCTATTTATCTATCTCGCTTGATTTTGAACCATCTATCTATCTATCTTTCTATCCATCAATGTATCTTTATCTCTCTCTCTCTCTCTCTCTCTCTCTCTCTCTTCTTTCCATCTTTTTCTCTATCTATTTGTCTATCTATCTGTCTATCTATCTATATCGCTTGTCATCTATCTATCTACCTCTTTATCTAACAACTTCTCTATCTATCAATATATCTATTTCTCTATGTATCTATCTATCTATCAATCTATCTATCTCATCTGTCTTTCTATCTGTCTCGCTTATTATCTACCTCTATCAATCTCTATCTCTCTTTCTATCTATGTATTTATCTGTCTCTTTATCTGTCTATCTGTCCATCTATCGAATTTTCTCTACCTATCTCGTTTTTTCATCTATCTATCTCTTTCTTTCTTTCTTCTCTGTTTCTTTCTTTCTGAACTTCTTTCTTTCTTTCTCTTTCTCTTGCTCTCTTCCATTCTTTCTCTTTATTTATTCTTTCCTTATTTCTTCCTTTCCTTCTTGTTATTTGTTATTTCTTTCTGAATCTATTTCTTTCTTTCTCTTTCTCTTTGTTTCCTTCTCTTTAGTTCTTCTTTCTTTCTTTCTTTGTACTTTTCTTTTCTTGAGTTGTGTCTTTCTATCGCTCTTTCTTTCTTTGTATTTCGTCTTTTCATTCTGAATTTATGTATTTTCTTCTGTCTCTTTCTCTCTTTCTTTCCGTATTGTTCTTTCTTTATTTCTCTTATTTCTTATTTCTATCTTTCTGTCTTTCTCTTTCTCTTTCTCTCTTTCCATCTCTCTTTCTTTTTTCTTTCCTCTTTTTAATTGGTTTATTCTTTCTATTTTCTTTTTTTATTTATTCTTCCTTTGTGAATTTCTTCCTTTCTTTCTCTTTCTCTTTCTCTTTCTCTCTTTCTTTCTTTCACTGTATTTATTCGGTTCTTCTTTCTTTCTTTCTTTTTATTTATTCTTTTTCTTTCTTTCTTTTGTTTCTTTCTTTCTGAAGTTCTTTCTTTATGTCTTTCTCTTTCTTTCTCTCTCTCTCTCTCTCTCTTTCCATTTGATCTATCTATCTATCTATCTACCACTTTCACCTGACCTTGCGAAAGTGCCGCGCCTGCCACGAAATCTGTACTCGACCGTGCCAACGTGCTGCGCCTGCCACGAAATTTGTACTTGGCCTTGCGCAGGCACAAAATGCTGCGCCTGCCACGCGACTTCCACTGCAGGTCCCACTTACTTGTGTACATTATGCCAAGTGTTTAGCAGCTTCATCAAGCGCAAGTCAGGGCAGCAAAGGCGCGGTAAAGAGAGCCGCCCGTTGGCTTCGAAAGCTCTGCTGCAAGCTCCAGTCTGTGACTCTGAACATGGCCCCATTACGCGAGAGTTTCATGTTCTGGCCGCACAAAGACAATATAGGTTGCGCGATTGTGAAGTTAAAATGCTACCGCGACACTCGCGCGAAGCTTGCGCATATGATTTGTGGGTTTTACAAGCATGCCCCCTTGACAAACACTTGAGAACTCCTCACCCGCATGTTCACGCACTGTTGGCAACTCATCATGTGGTACCCCTTATATGGATGTGTTGAAAGGGCAGCAACCACCAAAGCTACATGCAGTAGTTCATGGGTCTTTCCTGGCGGCAAAAAGTATGTTCGTTGTTCAAGCACATCCATGCCCTGTACATCTTGGGGGGCGGTAGCATCAGGCGTCAGCCTGCTAAATTGACTAGTTAACTTAACTAAAAGGGATTTCATTGAATCAAAGAGACAGGTGCAAACACATAGAACAAAAACATAGTCGTGCAAGCGTGCCAATTCATGTGCGTTGAAAGAAGCAACACCCAAAACTATGGTTGTTCTAGTTTGACGCTTCAGCTTCGCCAGCTTTACTGATTACGCGTCAATATTTGCCCTTATTTCGTGCTACCATGGCTGACTCCTGAAAAGCGCCCAGCAGGTTCACGATAAAGGGATGCTCGATCATGGACATGATCTGCTTCTCAGCTTTCACATGCTCCACCTACGGGCAAAATGTGTGCACTTTGCTTGACACCAGGAACTTGAACAGCCTGCTTCAAGCGGATCACATCGCCTTTGCGAAGGATCTTCAGCGCAATTGGAGTCCTCCCATTTTGCCACCGCACGATCCAAATAATCATATTGTGTATAATTTGGGCGTCACTGGCCTGTCACTCGCTCCTTTGATCTTGACAACGCGCACGCGGCTGAAGGTACCCTTGCCCACCTCGGACACTTCGAGGACTTCCGCGACTTGCAAATGCCATCTGTGCTCCAGGCGGTGTCCTTGAGTTCAAAGTCACTGAATGCCCAAGCGCGTCCCCTGGCAAGAGCCTAGCAAAGTTGGGCTGAAGGGCTGAAGGCAGCGCGCGTGAGCCGCAATGTTGCGCCTTCAGCTGCGCCATCGGCATGAAGTAAGTGCTGGCATTGACAGCTGCCTCCAGCGATATATGTTCCAGCCCCCCCCCCAAGCATAGGGTCTCCCCTCCTCGAGCCCCTGAACTCGCACCCTTGCATCCAGACACATAGGACAACAACCAACCCCAAACCCCAACCCTAAGCCAATCCGCCCAACCCCCCACCCCGCCCGAAGGGGGATTGGGAGAGGGAGAGGGGGGGTCCACGGCCTGGAACATATATACAGTTTACATTGAAAGGTCAAAACAAAACTTCAGTCCAAGCACATGACAGGCTTACCACAGGCATGCTACAAAGTACAAGGATCAACTTCAGCACACTCATTTCCGTCGCTTTTACCACTGCTAGATGGTAGGGGCCCTCTTGAGAGAGGTGGGCAATTGGGCCTCAAAACCAAGAGGTTGCGAGAACCTGTACCTTTGTGCTGCAAAAGCTGCATCTTGCCCAGCAGGGTAGGTTTTGAGTCTGTTCACACGCACACAACAACCCTTCCGCTGGAAGTCCGCTTGCTTGTGTACCCGCTACGTCCCCAACATCCCCAGCATCGCTGGCTTTGGTCTCTGGCGTTGATGTTGCCTTGTCTAAGGCTCCAGGTGCCTTCTATGCCAGGCGTGCTGAACATGTTAATGCGCTTCCCCTGTTTCATGCTGTGTGTGGGTTGATAGCTCCGTTAGTTCTGTTCCTTAGGTTTTCACTACACTACACTACAACAAACTACTACATGTCGTTGCATTACATTGCATCGCATAGGCTACATACAACACATTACATTGCAATACATCACATAGCATTGCACTACACTACATTGCATTAGCTACGCTACGTTACTCTCCTTTAACAATACATACGCTACAAACATTGCACACATTGCATCACATGACATCATATCACATCACGTACATAACATAACATTACATTGCATTACATAATATATGTTACATTTACATTGCATTGCAACCCAATCTTACATACATTACACACATACATACATACATACATACATACATACATACGTACATACATTACATACATACATTGCAATACATACACTACATACATACATGCATACATACATACACACACATACATACATACATTACATACATACATTACATTACATACATACACACATTACATTATATTACATTACATTACATTACATTACAGTACATTACATTACATACAAACATACATTACATACATACATACATTACATTACATTACATACATACGTACATACCATACGCTACATACATTTCACACATACATACATACATACATAACAAATATACATACATACATACATACATACATACATACATACATACATACATTACATACATACATACATACATACATACATGGATACACACATTACATACATACATACATACATACATACATACATACATACATACATACATACATACATACATACATACATACATACATACATACATACATACATACATACATACATACATACATACATACATACATACATACATACATACATACATACATACATACATACATACATACATACATACATACATACATACATACATTACATACATTACATTACATACATACATACATTACATTACATTACATTACATTACATACATTTCAGTACATTACATACATGCATTACATTACACACATACATATATGTATGTATGTATGTATGTAAGGTATGTATGTATGTATGTATGTAATGTATGTATTGCAATGTATGTATGTAATGTATGTATGTATGTAATGTATGTAATGTTTGTAATGTATGTAATGTATGTAATGTATGTATGTAATGCATGTATGGATGTAATGTAAGTATGTATGTATGCATTACATACATACATACATACATACGTACATACATGCATTACATACATTACATACATACATACATACATACATACATACATTACATACGTACATACATACATACATACATACATATTACATACGTACATACATTACATTACATACATACATACATACATTACACACATACATACAAACATATCCGCCGACCCTTTCTCTAAAAAGAGGAGGCGCGCGGGAAGGGTGGCTGGCACACAAGTATAACCAAAGATTCATCCTCATCAGCATCATCAGCTACGATGGTTGTTATCATCACAGTCATCGTCATCATCACCGTCCTTATCATCATCTCTTTCTTAATCTCTTATCCTTATCATCATTATCATGATGGTCATCATCATCTCTTTCTTATTCTCTTATCCTTATCATCATGATCATCGTGGTCATCATCATCTCTTATTCGGCAGCGTTGCTGAAGCAGAAGATGTTACGACGATAATTATCATCACTGCCGTTAGTGATGCCAAGGATGCTACGATGATAGTTATCATCCTTATCATCATCTGATCACCTAACATCAGCTAATATCTTATTATATGTCTTAGTATAGATAGAAATCAAAAGGGACGTTAGACATCCTTGGCAATGCAAAGGATGCGGTGATGATAGTTATTAAGGAACAAGTGGAGATGCAGAGGGTGCTGTGATGATACTGGTCATGACGCGGATGATAACGATCATCACGCCCGTAGACATCCTTGGCACTGCAAAGGACGCGATGATGATAGTTTTCAAGGAACAAGTAGAGATGCAGAGGGTGCTGTGACGGTACTGCTCATTACGCGGATGATAACGATCATCACGCCCGCTCGTGCCATTCCCATCATCGTCGTCGTCATCTCTTGTTAGGCAGCATTGGTGATGCAGAGGATGCTACGATGATAGTTATCATGACAATCATCCATTGCCCTTTTGTTGAGTGTATTTTTCTGGCGGGCTTTTTGTTAGGGTAAGCACCTTAAATTATTTATTTTTTAATTTGAGGTGTGAGAGACTTTGTTTTGGGCTGCATCATCATCATCATCCTTCTCATCATCATCATGATGGTCATCATCATCTATCTTCTCTTTCTTTTCTCGTATCCTTGTCATCATTATCATCATGGTCATCATCATCTCTTATTCGGCAGCGTTGCTGATGCAGAAGATGTCACGATGAAAGTTGTCATCACAGCCGTTACTGATGCCAAGGATGCTACGATGATAGTTATCATCCTTGTCATCATCTTTATCATCATCTGATCGTCTAGCGTTAGACATCCTTGACAATGCAAAGGATGCGATGATGATAGTTTTGAAGGAACAAGTAGAGATGCGGAGGAAGTTGCGATGATACTGGTCATGACGCGGATGATAACGATCATCACGCCAGCATGTGCCATTATCATCATGATTGTCATCTCTTGTTAGGCAGCATTGGTGATGCTGCGATGATAGTTATCATGACAGTCATCATCATCAGCATCATCCTTATCATCATCATCATGACGGTCATCATCCTAATTCTCCTTCTCATCATCATCATCATGATGGTCGTCATCATCCCTTTCTTGCTCTCTTATGCTTATCATCATTATCATCGCAGTCATCATCGTCATCATCATCCGTATCATCATGATGATGATGGTCATCATCATCATCATCCTTCTCATCATCATCATCATGATGGCCGTCAGCATCTTTTTCTTATTCTCTTATCCTTCTCATCATTATCATCATGGTCATCATCGTCTCTTATTCGGCAGCGTTGCTCAAGGAACAAGTACAGATGCAGAGGGTGCTGTCATGATAGTTGTCATGACGCGGATGATAACGATCATCACGCCCGCGCGTGCCATTATCGTCATGGCCGTCGTCAACTCTTATTAGGCAGCATTGGTGATGCAGAGGATGCTGCGACGATTCTTATCATCACAGTCATCCATTGCCCAATTGTTCATGATGACCATGATGATAATGATGATAATGATGATAACCAAAAGAGAATAAGAAAGAGATGATGATGACCATCATGATGATGATGAGAAGGATGATGATGATGATGACGATGATGCAGCCCAACACAAAGTCTCCCACACCTGAAATTAAAAATATGCTGTCCCTGAAAAAACCGCAAGAAAAAAGACACAAGGACGCCACTGCTGACGCAGAAGATGTTACGATGAAAGTTGTCATCACAGCCGTTAGTGATGCCAAGGATGCTACGATGATAGTTATCATCCTTGTCATCATCTGTATCATCATCTGATCATGATCTAACATCATCTAACATCATTTATACATCTTGTTATAGATAGAAATCAAAAGGGACGTTAGACATCCTTGGCAATGCAAAGGATGCGATGATGGTAGTTATCAAGGAACAAGTAGAGATGCGGAGGATGTTGTGATGATAGTTGTCATGACGCGGATGATGGCAATTATCACGCCCGCATGCGCCATTCTCATCACGGTCGTCGTCATCTCTTGTCAGCAGCATTGGTGATGCAGAGGATGCTGCGATGATTCTTATCATCACAGTCATCACCATCATCCTTCTCATCATCATCATGATGGTCATCATCATCTCTTTCTTATTCTCGTATCCTTGTCATCCTTATCATCATGCATCTCTTATTCGGCAGCGTTGCTGATGCAGAAGATGGTACGATGATAGTTATCATCACAGCCGTCAGTGATGCCAAGGATGCTACGATGATAGTTGTCATCCTTGTCATCTTTATCATCATCTGATCATCATCTAGCATCATCTAACATCTTATTACATATACAAATCAAAAGGGACGTTAGACATCCTTGGCAATGCGACGGATGCGATGATGATAGTTGTTAAGGAACAAGTGGAGATAAAGAGGATGTTGCGATGATAGTTGTCATGACGCGGATGATAACGATCATCACGCCCGCGCGTGCCATTATCATCATGGTCGTCGTCATCTCTTTTTAGGCACGCAGAGGACGCTACGACGATTGTTATCATCACCATCATCATCATCCTTATCCTCATCAAAGCCGTTAGTGGTGCCAAGGATGCTACGATGATAGTTATCCTCCTTATCATCATCTTTCTCATCATCTGATCGTCTAGCGTTAGACATCCTTGACAATGCAAAGGATGCAGTGATGATAGTTTT